AAAAACTTTAATATAAGTTTAACATAAACTTTTATTAAAGTTTTTCTTCATTACCCATTCAAGCCGTCTCCAGCCATTATTAGTCTCAAAGTGGGTTCCTCGTCATTGAATTTGAAAGCACTGTGTATGTATTCACAGATTTGTTCTGCCAAAGCCATGACTGTAAAATCTATTGCAAGTAAAATAGTCAAAGTAAGAAATGAGAAAAATAAAAAGGAGAGAAATGCCAGAAAACAAACTTTTTTTCTTTCCATTTGAATTTTGATGATAAGGTTCTTATCATCAAATGATGCCAATTTATTTTTATTATTTAAAAATTAAAATTTTTTCTTATCTGAAAATGTATTTCAGATAGAAGTTTCTCTACAGAACTAATAGCTATTACCTAATGCTACTGTTTAAAAAAGTCACGAATGAATCTTCCACCCCTACACATATTAATGTTACTGCATCAATATATGATGTACGGTACTCCATTGATTTTCCAGAAACTGATGGTTCGGCACCTCCTTTAATCCAGACAAAATTATGAGAGCGCACTTGAAATTCCCGCGACTGCTAGACTACTTCACTGGGCGGCCACAGATGGCATTGCGTGTGGCGCGTGCTCTTTCGGGACGGGCTACTTGCATTTTAAGTAGGTACGTCACTCTTTTGAAAATTTGTCTTATAAATATTAAACTAGTGGATCAAATTGCTTGAATTTTTTTCATGAATGTTGCCAAGAATCTGTAGTTTAACAAGATACAAATATTTAGTTTCGATTTTTTCTTCAATTTTTTACAACACAGAATGTTGATAATAGTGTATGAAAATTCAAAATAAAACATACTTGAAAATAACAATAATAATAATAACAGTAAAATTCTAAAATTTACCACTTTGGAAGCGATACTACTGCAACATTCTTTGTAAGTACAGTAATTAATAAACCTTTTTCATTTGTACTGTACTAATAAACCTGTATCATTTGTACTGTACTAATAAACCTGTATCATCTATACCTGTATTAATGTATTTCATTACTCATTTAATTCACATTTAATATATGTTTTATTTAAGTTTCTGGCAGTCCATGGTGCTTTAGAGACACTGGAGGGGTATAATTAGTGGGTCAGAGGTGTATTGTTGAATTATTATTATCATGTGACCTCTGTTGGTCTGGCAAGGCTCTGGAACCAAGGATGCCAGAAAATTGGTGGTGTACCTGTATTAATAGTTAAACTATAGCCCTCCACCAATAACAGGGCAACATTCTCCAAGTACAGTAACCCCCATGAGCACTCACATTTCAATAAAGGCCCATTCTTGATGAGATAGAAAAAACACACACACACTGGAAATGGGGAGGAAGAGGGGGTTCTGTGGAAAGATGACTGTCTATCTGAAACACATTTTTGTGTAAAGAAAATGTTAACTTCAGAAATGCTATTCACCTTTCCATAGAACAAATAGTTGGGATTCCATATTGATAAGATGGTGGAAGGATGGGTGTGTAGTGTGGCCAGGTTGTATAAAACATGAGAAATGTCCACATGAAATATGTACTAGAAAGGGAAAATATCCTAGACCTGCATCCCGAGACCTTTCTAGATGGAAAAAGGATTCACCCTTTATTATACTAGAAGAAAATGGGAGGGAGGAATTTGCATGGGGGAGTATGGCAGAGAGATTCTCAGAATGAACAGGAAACATCACATCTGCATAAAGTCCAACACTAACAGACTTTGCAATAAGTTACTACAAACAAGGACAGCCAGGTGTGAGGACAGAATTGCACATGTTGATGTCCTTTCTTTTCAGCCAGTTGTGAGGACAGAATCGCACATGGTGGTGCCCATGTGCGATTCTGTCCTCACAACTGGCTGAAAAGAAAGGTGGTGTCCTTTCTTTTCAGCCAGGTGTGAGGACAGAAGCACACCTTTCTCTTTCCTGAAGAACAACCTGGTTGGCTCCATCACCTCCATAATATAGATATAAACATTAAATGTGGTTGTAAGACCTGCAAAAAAAATTAGCAACTCACCTTTTTAAAGCCTCCGAGAAGACTGGAGAAAGATGAAAAACCAGAGGTATATGAAAGTTCAATGTTGTAGTAGTATGACACAAAGGTCATCCCCATCCCTGCCAGCAATATCTATTCAGGGGCTGTTCACAGTGAGGCAAGAGAAGCTGTGAGATGACAAACTAAATGGGAAAAGATAAAATAAAGTTGAAACGTGTCATTACTCACTGAAAAATAAACTAGCCAGATAAGTTGTTTAACCCAACTCAAAGAGGAAGGAAATAAGTCATGATAGGAAGAAGAAACCCACATGCAAGAAAAGATGTTATTAACTGCATTGAAAGGTGGCAGTATGAGCACGATAACAACTAACAGGATAAAGGGAACAATCACAGTTGGAACAATTGTACAGGGAAGAAAGATAAAGGATAGCCAAAGTTTGGACAAGGAAGGGGCAATCAGGGAATAATATTAACCTGTCCCTGTGATAATGAGTGTGGTAGGAAGAGGTGACAAAGGGTTCAAAATGGCAGGGGGGCATATAACAGCCCTGAGAACGAAACAGAGGTTCCAATCTGAAAGAGGAACTGGACAAGGAGGACAAATCATGAAAAAGGCCTGGAAGAGATCCCTAAGAACCAGAAAAAAAGAGAAAACAACCACAGAAGGTCACTGATAAAGCTGCTCTGTAACTGGCAGCAGTAGAAATGGAAAGAGGTTGGAGAGAAGGATAGGCATATAGATAGAGATTGTACCAAGTCTAACTCAGAGCATCCACTATTAGAGCTGTAGTGTGAAACATATAACCAAAAAGTAGAAACTAAATGCTGAAGGGAGTCATAAATGAGATGACTCTCAAATTGGGAGCAAATCCACTGAAAACACTAGAGTACATAGAAGAAAAATTAAGTGGTAGAAACAGTGGGTTGAATTCTTCTAAAGATGGAGCAGGCTCAACTTAAACAACAGGAACAGGAAGCGCTTCAAGTTGTTAATACAGTATATTGGATGACTTTTTAACAAGTGTCAGAACACTGGGAGATGTCAGAAACATTTTTAACTTTATTAACACCAACCCCCTCCACCATCTTATCAATGTGGGATTCTGGCTATCAGTTCTGAGGAGAGGTGATTAGTGTTTCTGAATTTAACCATATCCTTACCTTAAAATGTGTTTCAGATACACCCACCTCTCCACAGACCCCCCCTCCTTCCCATTTCCAGTGTTGTTTAATCAAGAATGAGCCTTTGTTGAAACACGAGTGCTTATGGGGTTTACTGCCCACATCATAAACTGGTGAGGCACTGTTAATAAGTGTAGGGGCAGAAGTTTCATTCAGAGCTTGGCAAATGGGCAACATATTTTTTTGGCAGTGGCATGAGGTAATAGCCATCAGTTCTGAGGAGAGAAGAGAGCAGTATTTCTTAAGTTCTTAAAAAATAAGAAGAGAATAAGAGAGACAAGATCCACCTTACTGATATAAATGTTTTTGTAATTGAAAAGAAACATTCTTTCAATGAAATTTTATTATACAGCTTCTTGGTGTCAAAATAATTGCAAAACTAGTTTTAAATAAATAAACAAAACTGTGAACTTTTCCCAAACTTGAAAAGAAATATATCATGGCTAACAAACAACATAAAAATATCAACAAAGAAGTTTTGTTACTGCACTACTGTATAAACAAAGAAATAACCTAAAACTTACCTAACACTTGTTTGTTTTCTAATTCAAGAAAATTTCTGCCAACACAATAACCAACTGGTGGTTTTGATGCCACTGCCACCAGACAATTTCTCCACATTTCCTCATTTCTCACCGGACAACCATTTATCGCGGACACTTGGTCTTCAACAACTAGTCCTGTTGGTCCAGAAATCCCAGAGTTCTAACATCAAGAAGAGTAAATAAAAACACTTTTAAAACATGGTAAGTGCAATGCTAGAAACTTCACAAATGTTTTATTAAAAATGATACAAAAAATAAAATAAAATTCCTTGACCCCCTCCCCCAAAAAAGTAGCAGCGCCAATCTTTACAAGTTCATTCTACGAGTACTTGCTCCTTCTTAAAAGACATAATAAAATGGGATTCACTATATAATTTTTTCCTGATAATCTAGATGATGAAATGTAATGGTCTTTAATTTTACCATTCCTCATACCAACAGAATTTAGCTATGTGGAAAGATTTCTAAAGTGATTTATACTTATGATAAATTTAAAAGGACGTGTATCACATAACTAAAAACAAAATTAGTAAACTAATGGTGTTTTACTGTATAATTAAATCAGTTTGAGTTTACATTTAAGTGACTGACAAGAAAAACAATTAAACTTTTGTTTAAATGAAACCCATATATATTAGTCACAAAAGTTGTATTTTTGAAAAAGCTATTAGAGAGACTCAACTAAGCTTAAATACTTTTTACTGCGAATGTATACCTATTTTATTAATATAATTATTTACCTATCTCTGTTACATATATGTATTTACCTATTGCTTTCTTTGGTTATAAACAGGAGGAAAATATCAAAATTTTGCCCAAGAGGGAGCACAAGAAGTTAAGTGTTTGAACAGCCTACACTCCATAATATAATTGTTTAGGTACATATATACAATTTATATCCTAAATAATGAAAGGTCTACCTTCCAGTAGACTTGGGTTTATTTTGTTATACAGTCACTTTGTTCGTCGTAGACCTTTTTCTTAGAATCTTGAAAACATTACAACTGCCATACAGCTAGCATGGTTACCCACAGCCTTCTAAAGACAGGCGTACAGCTAACATGGTTACATACAGCTACTACCTTCTAAAGACCACCATACAGCTAACATGGTTACGTACACCTACTACCTTCTAAAGACTACCATACAGCTAACATGGTTACGTACAGCTACTACCTTCTAAAGACTACCATACAGCTAACATGGTTACGTACAGCTACTACCTTCTAAAGACTACCATACAGCTAACATGGTTACGTATAGCTACTACCTTCTAAAGACAGCCGTACAGCTAACATGGTTACGTACAGCTACTACCTTCTAAAGACTACCATACAGCTAACATGGTTATGTACAGCTACTACCTTCTACAGACTACCATACAGCTAACATGGTTACGTACACCTACTACCTTCTAAAGACTACCATACAGCTAACATGGTTACATATAGCTACTACCTTCTAAAGAGTACCATACAGCTAACATGGTTACATATAGCTACTACCTTCTAAAGACTACCATACAGCTAACATGGTTACGTACAGCTACTACCTTCTAAAGACTACCATACAGCTAACACGATGTTGTTATATATTAATTTTTGGCACTAGCAGATTTTCCAAATAAGAAGACATTCAGATATGTCAGTTTCAGACAGTTCCAGCTCCAGCTTTTCTTACATATAATGGGGCTAAATCTAAAATTAAATTAGTTTAATGCACAACATTAGTTTTTTTTTGGGGGGGGGCAATGATATTTTAGGGGGTCAGCCCTTTTGCTCTGATTTCAGAGTAACATTCTTAAATAACAACTTCTATTGATTAACATTATCTAGACTTGGTTTTTACCGACATTTTTCTCATTTTCAATCTTGCATATGCAGTGAAAATCTCAACGACTTATGCAATTCTAGCCTATACAGGTGAACAGCAATAAATAATATGAAACTTGGCCAAATCAAAATAAAACACATGCAACATTTTGTAAATGAAACCCCTCTATCTTTTAGGATTTTTACTTACATAATACTATCAATAAATATCAATTTTCTGATATACCTGGTCGACAGAGACAACAGTGACTCCAGCATCATGCTGGTACATCAAGCTACCAAAGTAAGGGTTCATCATTAAAAGCAAGGCAGCAGTACCGGCTAGTATCATGTTGTGCCACACCCCAGCACAAAACACTTGCAACTGTTGCCATGCCGACAACATGGAGACATGTTCTGTTGGAAGATCCACAAAAGCTCCAGGAAAAATACCAAAAACAAAAAGTCCACATCCCTGGATTCTGACATTAGCTCTAGAAGAAGAAAAAAATGATATTTCATCCTTGCACCTGATATGAAATGATACAGATAAAACAAAGGTTTAAAACAGAAAACACTAACAACAGGATCTGTAAATAAATAACCAATGTTTATAAGCTATAATTCTATTTGGATTATTTCTCACATTTTAGTTAATCTAATGGAAACTTTAGTTTTCCACAAAACTTTTCACTTATTTATTATGCAGATCAGTGGATTACATACAGAAGGGGAAGCCTGACGAAACTGGTGTAAATGGGCCGAGGTTATGATAATCAGCCTCAACTCATATAGACACACTTGTAATACATAAAATTAATACTTTTGACTTTGTGTGTGTGTTCTTGCCCCAAGACTTTCTGTAAGCCTAACTACATCAATGACACAAAGTGATGTAAAAGTTAGTTTCTCCAGGTGAGTAAACTAAGTCTTTTTAATTTTCGTGTGTTTCAGGTTAAGATACAAATACATGTAAACAGTAAATAAGCACAGTACATAGAATGATAAAGAACCAATGAGCTTTAATGTTGCAACTTAATTGTTATCCACACAGGAGAGGTATAAGCACAGACCAACTATCATATGTCCATAGACATTGATTTTCCACCGTAACAAATATGTACATTTTTCTCTAAATTATTTCATTTTAACTATTTAGAAATTTCCACATGCACACAAACACTGTCTAGTTACATGTTCCACAAGCATCCATCAACTTGTCAATCGTTCTTTTTAAAAATTACTTCTTTAAACGAGTAGTTACCAACAAAGTTGTTTATGAAATATTTAGCAGAATATTACAGCAGTAAGAGATTGTTACTAGAACACAAATCTTACAGTAGTTGTAAACTGGATTGAATATTGTGCTTATTGTTCTAACATAAGCACTGATAATTCTGAGCATTTGTTTGAAGGAGCATTCACATTAACACAATCTTGAAAAGCACAAATATTTAATACTTATTACAATTGTAAAAGCTGGATAAAAGTATTTTCTATGTGGACAACTATTACAGCATTCAACACTTTTTACTTTCCTTATCAGAAGTCCTGAGAATAATAAAAGTTTGGTTAATGTTTTCATTTTAACCTTGACTAACCTTGACTTACTAAGAAAAGTACAAACCTTACAGCAGCAAGAGCATGTCCCACTTCATGAATCACACTACACACAAGGAGAGTCATCAGGTAATACATGATGTCCGACAAAGGAAGATTAATTCCCGGCATAACCTTGACTTACTAAGAAAAGTACAAACCTTACAGCAGCAAGAGCATGTCCCACTTCATGAATCACACTACACACTAGGAGAGTCATCAGGTAATACAAGATGTCCGACAAAGGAAGATTAATTCCCGGCATCTATACAACAGAAAAGATTTAGGATTCCAGGGCATTGTTCAGACACATGAAATATAATCTAAGTTCTGTTGTTTAACACATTTGATTTGATTAAATTTAACTACCAGATGAAAACTAGTTTTTCAAAAACACTTAATTAATACTGTATTTTATCATATTTTTTTATTAAATCAGCATGTTGAAAGTTTTCAACAGAAAAATTACAAAAAGACATATGAAGACATTATTTTTATAATTCATTACAAACCGGTTGTATTTAATCACCTAGTGGTCACTCTCGTAAAAACACAAAGCTCATAAAAAATACAAACTATTCACCAGAATTTTTTAAAATGTCTTCACCTTTCATGATATATACAACAAATATCTATAAAACACCTGAATATAAAGATAATGGAGCTTGGAAAAAAAAATTGCTACTCAGCATAAGTATAATTCACAACAGAATGAATTCTTTGTGCTTGGACTTGAAACTAGGGTTATTACGGAAGAAATTAATAATATGAGGTTTATTTGGTAGTTTAATTTATATTGTAGAAAAGATATACATAAGTGGGGAAGATTTCGTCCAAAGTTACTTAGACGCTGGTTTGATATTGGAGCACTGATGTCTTTAGTGTGTTTGATTCCTTCTGTATGGTTGGTGATTTCCACGGTAAAGAACCTGCTATGGACCACAGAGCACAAACAACAAAATATTCAAGTCCTTCAACCTGTTGTAAGTTGATGACACCCTAGAAATCTTTAAAGTGGAGTATTTACTGAGTGACTTGTGTTATCTATAACTGTACAAAGCTGCTTGTAATGTGGTTGTAATCACCGGGTCCTATTCCAACAGGTAGAATACAGCTGAAGTTGAAACGGCTTAATTGTTAAACCCCAATGCTCCAATAAGACGATGTAAGGATGAAGCATGCATGACTGGATTCAACAAGGGAAATGAAGGATCAGACAAACACGTGTCATAGTCCACAATTTAACTCATGAACAATACACATTGTTGATACTAAATTCACTCGGATCATTTTTGTATTTAAAACATACAATCTGACAATTATTACTGAAAATGTTTTACACACAGAGTTAACTATAATTTTGTTAAACCTAAGGTTTTGATATTTGATGACCAACATTCTAAGTTATTAGCTCATTAGTATGATCTTGTAGCTTTGACTTTTCAGATTTCACTCGAGTCATTTTTTCTCTTCTCTAACCTAGGCCAGTTGTGATATTAATGAAAACTCTAACACCGAGTTTTTTACAGTGTATCAGTACAAAATGCAATATAAATATATTTGCAAAACCAATTTTACTCCTGTTTACTAGATTTACTTCATGTAGTAAAGAACTTGGTAAACATGTT